TAGGGCAATAAATATTTGTTGAATTGAATTTTTATTCAAAATAGTCAAACTCATCCTGTGCAGACATCTGGGGACTGCTGAAACACTGAGAGTTGACCATTTAAGTGACCTTTGAATCAATTAAATGTCTGCGTAATGTGTTTGCCCCAGGTTTATATTTTGGTCTTCAGAGGTGGCCGGCAGCCTTCAGAGGGCAGATCTCGGTGGTGTGGAAGTGAAGATTCTGCTAGAGACGGCAGAGAAAATAACAGCTATGTCGTTGGATGTGCTTGGTAAACGGCTCTTCTGGGTTCAGTATGACAGAGAAGGAAGCAATTCTCGTATTTGTTCCTGTGATTATGATGGAGGTTCTGTCCATTTTAGCAAATATCTTTCACAGTAAGTTTTGCTTTTGGTATGAAATAAAACAATTGCCATTTGAAGTTTGTGTGATAAGTTAATTTTACATTTGCCAGTTAAACTGATGTGTGGTTTAGCACAGATTTTAGATTTCAAAAGACTTGAGTCCAAGTCCCAGATTTACCATTTATTAGACAAGTGACTTTGGGCAGGTTACATGACTTCTCTTATCCTCAGTTTCCTTTAATATGGGATATGAATAGTACCTATTCTTGGGGTTATGGTTAAAGTTAAGTAAAGAAACACAAGTAAAAATAACAAATTTTTCATAATAAGTTTTCACATGTTGCTTATAATTCTTTTTGGAATTTTTATGTCATATACTTGTGAAGCACCTATCTTTCATTTGATTTGCTATTTTGCCAGTAACAGACTCTCCAGCTTGTGGCAAGAGACAGATATCAGTCAAGTGTGAAATGAACAAAACCAGAAGTCCACTCTTATCCTGTTCCTATTTTCTTCCCTATTTTATTTTCATTACACTTATGTGCTGGTTAGCAAAAGAATGAGACAATGAATCTGGAGTTAAAAATTATATCCTATTAATTCAGATTATGACTACATAAATAAATTTTTAACTTTAATACCTGTTTCTAAATACAAATGGAAAACAATTGTAAAGGTAGTTGATTAAAATTCATACAATAAATTGAAATAAAGTGAAACTTGAATAAGCCCAGGAAGAAATGTTCCGCCATTCTTTATTTTTTTTCCTATTGTTTTTTAGGCACAATTTGTTTGCAATATCCCTTTTTGGTGACCGTATCTTCTATTCAACATGGAGAAAGAAGACAATTTGGATAGCTGACAAACACACTGGGAAGGATATGGTTAGAATTAACCTCAACTCATCATTTGTACCACCTGGAGGAATTAAAGTAGTGCACCCGATCGGACAGCCCAGGGCAGAGGGTGATGCTTGGGCATCTGGTGAGTCATCTTTGACCTTGAACAAGATCTGGCACTTAGTCCTCACCTATCCACTTGCTTAAGCCAGACACTTAGGGAGTCATCCTTGATTTCTCCCGCTGCCTTACCCCTGGTTTCCCATCTCCCATTAAGTCCTTTCGACTCTACCTCCTAAATACATCTCCAGTGCCCAATTCTCCCTCTTCTGCTGCCACCATAGTCCAGACAACTGGCATTTCTTGCCTGGCCTATTATAGTAGCCACTCATCTAATCTTTCTGTTTTCTCTTCCTGCCTTTAAATAGTTAATATGATCCATTAGCTCCCGTGCTTCGAAAGCTTCCCTTTGCATTTAGATTGAAATGTAACATTTTACAAGGTCTATCATCAATGTTTGACCACCCTGATCTCGCCCTCTCTCCCTTCCTCCCCTTGCGGGAATCTAACATGCGACTTTCCATCATTCCTCAGGCATGCCCGGCTCCTTCACACCATTACGCTTCTGTAGTCACTCTTCTGTCTGCCTAGACTTCTCTTCAGTTCTGAGCTTAAATATCATGTCCTCAGATAGGCCTTCTCTGGGCTTTCAATCAAAGTAGACCCTTCACCTATTTTTTTCTCAGTACACCCTTTGTTGAACTCATCACAACATGTAATTACATATTACTTGGCTTTCTTTTTGATTTTCCTCCCACTTGATTATAAATGCAATATCCCTTTTTGGTGACCATATCTTCTATCCATGCAGGCAGGGACCATGTTTGTTATTTATTTATTTGTTTAAACCACCTTATATTTAATGGTTATTTATAAATAAAAAATTTTAAGTAATGTTAGTAAAATGAATGGATTGACTGAATCTAGTCATGATCCCAAACTTTTATTTTTAAATATAGTCTTTTCTGTTTAAATTCTTTAGCATGTACTTTTTTTAAGGTAGATTTCTCAATACGGTTTATAGACTGCATAAAAATGATGTTGCAATAACATTTGCTTTACGTAAAAGTTTTATTTTAAGAAAGCTTTAATATATCTTTATTTTTATCCCCAAATAGCCTTGTGAGGTTTTGAAGCAGAGATGGAGTTGTTTATTTTCTCTTCTTCCTACCTGTTGGATGCCACCGGGGTTTAGTAATGGTGTGGGTAATGGTAGGGACTGTGAGTCCCTACCACAATTAATATACAAATGTGTTCATACCTGCCCCAGACATAGAGAGCTGTGGAGACCGAAGAAGATGCCAAGCATGAGATTTCCGAAGGAAGGCTAGAATCTAGGGCGAACTGATATTATTATTTCTTATATCCTCATGGAGGTAACTAATAGTGTGAATGCTTTTATCTGATTTCTTTAAAAACTTAGATAGAAACTATAATGTAACTTGTGTAATGACTATGCTTTCAATGCAAGTAATGAGGAACTGCCAAGAATAAAATAAATTGCAAGTGATGTAGCATTTATTCAGATAACTTGTTTTTTAAAAACTTGATTTACTTGAATTTACAAAGCAAGCGCTGTGGGAAATGAATCAACTATGGGTGGTAGCACAACATTAAGTAGCAACAACCTGTTGGTAACCCTATAAAATAGAGGGTGACCATGTGCCAGATATCTTCCATGGGAAATTTTGACTCAAGCTGTCTTCGCATTCATTGGCCAAGTGGTGGTGACTCACAACAAAATGAGAACCAACAAGTACTCTGAATAAGTAATCAGAAGTCTTATTCATAATAGTTATAGACGTATCCATCCATATCCTCATCACCATCTCTTACATTTATACGTAACCTCCTAGTTTCCAAAGCATTTTTATGGGCGTTATCTTGTTGATTTGTCACAGCAACATTGTAAGACAAAAAGGTCAGCAATAATTGTGCTTATTTCATAATTGAGAAATCTAAAGCCTAGAGAAATAGAGTGACTTTTCCAGGATTGCACAGCTTATTAATGATGAGGTTTGGAAAAAAAAGATTCCTGGTCTGTCAGTTGAATGTTCTTTCTACCATCAACACTAGCTCTTCAGAGTCCTTCATTATTATTCAGCCTCCTCGATGGGGAGTTCAAATAGGATAATTGAAGCACAAATTTCAAAAGAAAATCCCTAATAATGCATTACAGAACAGCTTCACAAAATGTGGCAAATAATAGAATTTGGTTGGGAAGCCCCTGCCAGCTGCAGAGCTACAGGCAAACCTGGAATCTAGAAGGCAAGTGGCAGTGGAGATATTGGCTGCAGTTACTGACCGAAGGACATGATTCACGTGTATTCCAAGTGCAAAGAACTTTTGATATCAAGAGCTGTTACTTTAGCCAACATTAAAGAGGTTTAAGTTGTTTTAGTGCCTTGTAGAGCAGAAATTCTTTACCTGGGATTTAAGGTGTATAAACCTCTCGACTATATGTGTTAGATGAAAATACTCAATTGTCTCCCTGGGAGATGGTATATAACTTTCATCAGGTTTTCCAAGTGTCTGGCATGGTTTCCATTTAAAAGCTTAACTTCTCTAGAGGATGGGTGGTTCCCCCTGGATAATAGGCTTACAGCTGCAGCTCCTCAGGTGAGGTGGACAGTAGCAGAACTTTGGTTTGCAAGGCATTTAGTAGTGAGACTACTTCAACCAGGAGATAACTGAGAAAAGTCATGTAACTTGGTAGATATTATTTTTGTTATAAAATACGAGTCTTTGGACACATAAGAATATCAATAAATGGTGCGAAATGCCTCCACTACTATTATTAAACCATGTTCTACAAAACACTGACTCTGTGGGACTTAGTGGGGTTATCTGGAGGAAAAAACATTTCAGGGCCAAATGATTTAGACAGACTGGGTTAAGTAAGATTAAACAGGTTGTTTTTCCGCAATGACCCCTCAGAACCACGCATACGGTTATGTGCGTTGTTAATCTCTAAGGACCAGGCAACCTGTGGCGTTTCCCTAGTCGATTTCCTGTGCAGCAGCCCACTCAACTCCCTAATTATTATTATTCCAAACCCAGACCTCTTTCTTGAGATCAAGACCAATTAAAAAAAAAAGAAAAAGAAAAAGAAAGATTCGAAGGCATAGCTAGAATTAAGTTGCAAAGATCTGCTACAGAGTTAAGCTGCAGAGAAAAGTGATTTAAAACATTGGGGATTTAGTCAGAATATACAAAAGGAAGCAGCCCCAGTGAAGACCACTGGCTGACCAAGGCCGGGGCGGGGCTTACCAAGGCAGCCCAGCGCTTGGCCAGGAAGCCTCCTTTGTTGTTTAGACAAGGCCTGGGCTTGCCCTGCGGATTGGCTGGTCAGTGAGGAGCTTCTTGCAGCTGACTGCTGAGCCCCAATCGCCATGGTTGAGCCACAGCTTCCCCATCAGGCTGGTTTCCTGATGATTTCGACCAGTTTCCTGAGACCGGTCACTCTGGTCCCTCCTCCAGGCCACACCTGCTTGCTATCTGCCCCCTCCAGGCTCAGGGTCCTGTAGTGGGCACATGGTATGTACACACTGAGGCTCAGTGAATATCGAGGCCTGTATGTTTAACCTGCCTTCTGAGCGTTTTTGCTTGGGTTTCTTAAGAGTGCTTCAGGTACAAAGGAAATACTTGATCTAGCGACTTTCACATCCCTTCTCCCCAGCTCCTCTCCCTCCAGTTTTCGTACTGCAGTGAGTGGCATCTCACCTCCATCTCCCAAGGCAGAAATCTAGGAGCGGCCGTTTCATCCCTCTTTCTTCACTCCTACCCCATGAAATAAATCTGCAAATCCTAATGATTCTACCACCTTCAATCTAACCACTTCTCCTCTCTTGGCAACAATCCCTCCCCCTAGGGTCCCCCATATTTGTATCCTGCCTCCCTTTTCTATCCTGCAGGGAGCATAACCTTTCAAAAATGAGGGCCCAATTATGACATCCCTTGGTTGAAACCAGTTGACAGCTCTCATCGCCAACAGTGAAAGTCCAGTCTCTTTATTAAGCCCATTCACAAGGCCCTCTGCTCATTTCTCAGCTTCACCTTTCACCATTCTCTGCCTCACATCCTGTGCTGCAGGCATCATCAAAGACTTTATTTCTTCCCTCAGGGCAGCCTTGCTGTCTCCTCCAGGCCTTTCGGGA